GTGGGTGTTCGTCGTCGTTTTCAGTCAAATATTTCTGAGTAACGTAAAGCTCAAGAAAACCTGGCCTTATGACTACTCAGCATGACTATGATAAGTCTCACCTCGCTAAGAGGAGTGACTGTGGAACATTGTTCGCATTAGCGGCTGCGAAGAATATGAAGACCTAGCTAAATAAACAATAGATAAAAATAATTAAGTAACGCTAGCTAGATAAACGTTTTTTAGAATGATAACCTTGTGTAAATAATTAGTTTAGCAGATTTCATTCAGTGTGTAGTAGGAATTCAATCGCCATATGTTTTAGGCCATCCCAAGTTCTAATTACTGCTCCTTGTTTGGCGAGCTACTGGAGTGCGAGATGATCAGTCTCCTTTTTCGCGGTTTAGTTCGCCTTCTTCAGACCCAAAAATGTTTGGAATCGCAAGTGTCCAATTGCTTATTTTCACTCAGTGAAATACCTCGATTCAAACTTTTAGTGATGTTTTTTGGAGAGGATGAAAAGCGAGGTAGTTCATTTTTTCACCATTCTTTTAGAAGTTGCTGTTCATTAAACATCATTGCATAATCTTGTTAATAGTAGTCGTGATATTGATAATCACAATGCGATGTAATAGTAGTAAAATGCGCTACAAATCTATTCGAGCTGGGAAGGATAACAGAGTCTAACTAAAGACATACGCAAGTTAATGGTCACTTTTATACAACAATACTGAAATAGTAAACTATAACTCCAACAAGCTTTGACTAATACTTTGGCGGCGATTAGAGGTTACACTGTACATATGCTTAGAGGCAAATGAGGCGGTATGAGCGGTAGACTGGTCTTCTTTTCCGCCCCTTTGTTCAGCTGATGTCTTAACCCTGTGAATGTTGTGGAGAGTGTTCACCGAAAAACCTGTATCTCACTATGAGTATAGAGATAAATGTCTTTGGCTTAGTTCAATGTTCTAAAGAGTCGCACGGTCGATTTCAAGATGTTGAATATATTAGCATGCCGAATTTTGGAATTTAAAGGGCATTTTATCACGATGACAGCATAATAACTCACTGAGGTGATGCATTGATGTGTTTGCAGCGTGTAGATGAAATCACATAAAATTTGCTTGAAAATGTATCATTGATAGCCGTATGGTCGTTGAAGAATATGATGAATGACAAGTTTTCTTAAATCAACCTGTTCAACTTTTCCATCGTGATTTGTGTAACATGTGGTTGAAACTTGTTGTGCAGGAGTATAAACTGATACCCTTGCTCATATATGGTTACATACGCGTTTCTGTTGTGATCATATCAGCAGATTTCACCGTTTCGTGCCACTTTTGATACTAATTCGGCTTGAGGAGACGTTTAAGACATATCTAATAACTATTAGCACATTCGCGACGATTAAACATCTACAGAGGTGACTCGTAATGGAACACAGTGGCCGGCCTGACCACTATATAAGCCCTTTCCAATCATTTTTTTTGGTGCAAGGAAGCTTTTTGTAGTCAATCTATAGCTTAGCCAGTGCGGATGTTAAACCGCAGCTCAAGCAGGAAAAGGTTTCCACCATTCATCAATTCCTTATTTTCGGCGAGAGACTTTTGCTAATGAAGACATTGTGAGTTATTAAGAGTGTGCTTGGTAAAAGGAACATAGAATAGCCAATTTTTACTCAGATATCACTCCTTGATTCCTTATGACACACTAATATATGATTATGGTAATTTAATGAATCTGCTAAGAATTTCATCTGCAATGTTTTCTTTTTCTTCATTGCGATTATGATCTTGTCTACATCTACTAGTAACTCTTGACTTTTACAGATCTGAACATCGTTTGTGGGTTTATGCCGTATTCTGACCAAGTTGATATAAAGAAGAGATTTTTGCTTGAGGAGTCACCTGAGGACTAAACTAACTCCATCTGTGTATGCTGTTATTACTGTCAATTTGTTCGAGTTCACGTGATATTGTTACTGATTCTCTCTTGTTTGCGCTTACAACTCGGTATGACTTGCATCATTGTTACAAAGCAATAAAATATTGTAAAGATTGTTGCACAACTTAAGGCTCTGCTTGAGAATTGAGATAGCTTGAAAAGAAAAACTGAACAATTTCTACAAGCTCCAGTTCTCAAAAAATCCTAGCAAGGACTGTCAATTGTGGAAGTACTGATCTCAATGGGCAGAGACCAAAAGTGCGGATTTAGAACTAAATCTCAGCTCATTCTTAGTTCAAATAATTGGTCCAAAGTGAAAAGTAAGAGAGACTTTTAATAGTATTGGTGAGCAATTTAATTACTTCTGCTCAATAGATTTGGGGTTTATTGTTCTCATGCCAAAACTTATGAAAAGACCTAATACTAGGACGAACGAAACAAAGGTATAATATTATAAAAATACCAGCCAAAGAGCAATCGAGTGTAATACTGAGTTCGGTGATAATTTTATTTGACTTAGAGTGTATATCGCTCGTCTTCGCTACCTCTTTATAGGGAGATTAGGGACTCCGGAGAGGATTAGCTAGAAAGACTAAAAAACGACGTGTTCTGCCCGACTGATGAGACTGTAAGTCGAAACAAGTGTATCGGGCAGTGCAAGAGCCCATTACCAGACCACATGACATGTGGGCTCGAATAATAATTTTGAGATCACTAATACTCGTATGAAAAACTCCTGTCCAGCGAAAGGGGGTTTTTCTTCATTTGTTTCCGTTTAACAGAAAAAACCGCATAGCGACACCAAGACCTAAGTTCTTCGACTCATGTGTCGCATCTTACTCAGACAAATGGATCTCATTGTGAGGTATCGATGTTGTCCCAAGAAGGATAACCAACAAATATCTACGTGACTATTCACACAATAGAATTATATCGATAAGAAGTGATTGTCTAACTTCATTATGTTAGTTAAACATATTTTCGTTCTGCTGCATAACTGCTATGCAGATAAAAGCATTTATTACTCAACAATGGAGTGTGGTTCATTTTATAGTTAGTTTATATCAAGAGTGGCGCCTCATCATTATCTAGGACGACAACCATTTAGGTGAGAATGTCCTACGCCAGTATATGCTATTTACTGAAAAAAAAAATCTCTACAGAGCTCATTCAGATGACCGATTACTATGTAATTTTATTATTCCACGTCTTTCTTATCCTTCAAATGATACTGTTGTGTTATGGCGTGAGTTTGATCAATTTTCAAAAAGTTTTCACTACCCTATAGGAGAACATAGCTTTAATTCGCTAGTATTTCAACTATACACTAAAGGGGCGCGTGTAGCCCAGTGGTTGGAGAGCCACGCCATGCGTACGTCGTCACTGGTGGTTCCAGTCCGCCCCGTGTTCATTAGCCATCAGTATCTAACGCGTTGATAAGTTAGTGAATGTATCCATGCAGGAGGATGTCCGTTCTTTCACCATACATCGGTAGGCCCCAGAAAGGGTAATTGCAAGCCCAAAGGTACTTTTTGTCCCGAGTTTATATCGTATATAAGCCTCCGTCGTGGTTGCATCTCACTTCGTACCTTACAAAAAGATAGCAGTCAATAAATAAAAGTTGGAGTATTTTTATGCACTCACAGCTTCATATTGACTTGATTTGTCAATCTGTGTTTTCCAAACCATTTGGGTTGACGGTTGATAGCACCGATAAAGTAACACTGCTGAGATAATAGCAGACCAGGAGTATCGATGTTGAGTGGGTAATACGTGCTCGCACAAAAAGTAGTCGCAAATTTGAGGCACACTTGAGGCTCTAAGTTTTTTCTCGTATTTTAGCATTCTTAGGCAATTTTGATACCGAGATAGTTTGTTGTTAGCTCATCGTTTTGGATCGATCCGCAAATCGTGAAATAATCCAATCTTTCCATTAATAGCAATCTCCCAACGTATAAATCTCTTTCGGTTCATACTTGTTTGTTAATAATAGTAAAGCTCTGATACCGCTGTTGGAATTTACCAATAGAGATCTTACGGTGACCAAAATATGTAGTACAATCTAGATTGAGTGCTTTCCCTTCACATTCCCTCGCGAATACATCCTACTGTAACCTTCCCCTAGTGGGATAGGCGCTGATTACAGATAATTGCTTATATCCAACGCAGGCCATGCTGGTACACTTTAATGAGTGCCACGCTGAGCATTTCCATGGAAATAGTGTCACCTTATGCGTCTGTAATGCTTGAGTGCTTGTTTGGCCAAAATTCATGAGTAGTCGAATCCTGTCACATCTCCCATTAATTTGTTGTTCGCGCAATCGTAATACATGGCGGTGGAACCCTCTGGAGGGTGGCATTCGTGAGGTACACTACGAAACACTGAAAAACATTTCTACCTGCGAATGCATGTGGCTGACGTGCGCGAAGTATGCCCGGGCGATCATCTTCCTGTATACCGGTTTAAACATGTATCAAATTGCATAAGATCGATCACCTCTTACGAAAATAAGAAACGTCCGTGGAACATACCAGCAGCGATTGATGTTGTCTTAGAGGTTTCGTTTATTTTGCAAAGGATGGCAACTGTTTGCACATTGCGAAAAAAAGTAGAATTGTAGTTTACCAAAAAAGAATGACGTTACTCTATCCTTTGCTGAATGTAGGTTTGTAACAAAGATTTAAACATTGATTTTGAGTTCTTATAAGGTTTAAATGAAATGTATGCTTTTCAGGAAGCTAAAGGTGACAACGAGAGCGAATTAGGAGTAAGTTCCAGTTATAAATAATTCTAATGTAACTTCTTTGAGTTGATAACTTTATAAAATCACCTCAAGTATGTTAAAGTAGAACAGTGGAACTATAAGAAGACGGAATCTGTCACAATGAAGAGATTGTTTCCTTCTTCTTTTTCAATGTTATGACTCCCTTTCTATTTGAACACATAGGATTAGCAATATTAAAATGAATTTAAGCAAGCTCATGAAGAACTAAGGTACTCCAATTTTTAGACATCATCTACGACTTCTGCAGCAAAGGAAGAAGCTTTGGTAAGAAAGAGTGGTAACAAAGTAGTTGCCTCGGTGGTGCAATGAAAGCACGCTCCTCTTGTATGGAAATGAAACGGGTTCAACTCCCGCGTGAGGTCGACTGTTTTGCAAACCACTCAACAGTTTCAAATGTGTATTTATCACATTATATCAGTGTCAAGAAGCGCTAAAGATAAAGAATTCTTTGTAGGGAAAAGCTACTAAAGCTGCGCCGCAAGCGCATGCGAACACACCTGCTGCAAAGGTTTGCTTTTTATAGCATAATTGTTCTACTTCATTTAACAAAAGAGAAAATGAAGTATGTAAGTAGAAAATAATAAGAATTATGTATTAGAAGTGTATTTACCGCAAGCACAACTTTCCAGCTTGAAGAAAAGGTTTTTTGCGTAATGCTTAAAATTTTTTAGAGCGGTAGATTTTTTTACTATCAAAGTAATTCCTAAAGTACGTTTTGATTCCAACAATCATCACTGCATTGTTTTGAATTTGTTGCTCAAGCTAAACCGACGAGTTTTTATGGAACTCGAGAGCTTCCTTGTTTGACAACTATTTCCGCAAACACTTCCATAAAATGAACTTCTTAGTTACCATTAATAAGCTGAATATTCTAATTCAGCGATAAATTCTGATTCTGGTGTGATAAAAAACCTTTTCCTGTCGTTTTGGAACAACGAAGCTGAAAGACTAGAATAAAAGAGAGCTCATCTAGTAGGACATGACATCGTTCGCCTCTACTTCTTGTGATTCGCCCACTGGTGTGATAAAAATTCCAATTTACTTGAATTCTAAGCAAATGCAATGAAAAAGTGTTATTTTGAAAACGCATGTGTTTCTTCAATACAATAGTCCTTTATCTAGAAGCATGCCTAATTTTATAGCTCAAAAAAACATTGTATTGAAGAGCACAGCGTGTAGGGAATGCCCAGCAAAGTTTTGATTGTGTCAACAGTGACTTCAGGAACCTGTTTCTCAAGCAAACGGTGCGCCACAGCCTCAAAATGCTGCAGCTCCAGCCGCTGCTGCACCGGTGACAGTTCTTAGTGAACTAAGGAATACGCAATCGGTTTGTACACGTTCATTTGCTTCTTAAATTTATTATGATTCAACTGTTACGGACTGCGTATAGCGTAGCAGTCAGAGGGACCATGTAATACACACATGGCTGTGCCATTAATTGGATCCTGCTTTCCAGTCCACCGAAAGTTTCTATCCTCTAGTGTCGTTTAATTGGTGTGAGATGTGTTCAGGACGTTCTTTTGTGTCTTTTCGTGACTAATATGATGCATCGCGACATATATAAGTCATTTTAAATGTTAGATACAAGTCCATCAATGTTATGATGGTTGGTAAAGTCGAATAGATGGGTAGTGTTCATAACTAAATATTTCTTGTCTACATCGCTCATATTCCGTACTTAGAACGCTGAACTTCGATTTTGTCGCTTGAGTGTTTTTGCATGTATGCAGAGGACTTTTTGAAGGACAATTGCTTTCACCACGAACAGCTTTCACCTACGATTAGGTTTTAAGCGAGAAATTTTACTGGAATAGAACGTTCGACTAGAACGACTCGTGTGCTAAGTGGGGATAAAAAATTCCGCATAGCAACAATGATTGTGCTGCCCATTGGAGCAAATCTATTTTCAGTGTTCATCAAATATAGGGGACCAAAGCTAACAATTTTCTCAGAAGCACATTTTTTTCAGCTGGCATTGGAACCTCTAGCGGAGCAACAGCTCCCACCCAAAGGATCGAAGCCATTAGGTCCCCAACAAGCAAGAGATGCTGCTAAGCCTTCTCCAGCGCCTACGATGGATGCTAACTATTTAGTCTTAGATGCACTAAACGCTCAAGGCAGAAAACCTCTTCCACCTCCTCGTGCTGCACCAGCACCAGCGAAAGGACCTCCACCAGCAAAAGAAGGCGCGAAGCCTGCTCTTGTACCCACAAGGGATGCAAACTATTTGAACTTGGATGCAGTTAACCCTCGAGGCAAGGAATGTCCTCTACCACCGAAAGCAAGTCCAGCACCCGCGGCGGCTCCTGATCTTGAAAATCAGTACGAGGATGTGGTTCCGGAAGCGAATGCAGAATCTCCCCCACCACCACCACCTCCGCCTCCGAAAGCAAGTCCTGCTCCACCAGCAGCAGCTCCTGTTCTCGAAAACCAGTATGAGGACGTTATCCCTGAAGCCGTTGCAGGAGCGCCTCCACCACCACCTCCACCTCCAAAAGCGGCTCCTCCGCCTCTGAAGCCGGCTCCTCCGCTTCCAAAAGCAGGTCCTCCGCCTCCAAAAAGCAGCTTATCCACCTCCAAAAGCGGCTTATCCACCTCCAAAAGCGGCTTATCCACCTCCAAAAGCGGCTTATCCACCTCCAAAAGCGGCTTATCCACCTCCAAAAGCAGCTCCACCTTTAAAAGCAGCTTCTTCTCCACCACCAAAAGCAAGTCGAGCACCCGCGGCGGCTCCTGTTCTTGAAAATCAGTACGAGGATGTGGTTCCGGAGGCGAATGCAGAAGCTCCCCCACCACCACCACCTCCGCCTCCGAAAGCAAGTCCTGCTCCACCAGCAGCAGCTCCTGTTCTCGAAAACCAGTATGAGGACGTTATTCCTGAAGCCGTTGCAGGAGCGCCTCCACCGCCACCTCCACCCCCAAAAGCGGCTCCACCGCCTCCAAAAGCGGCTCCACCGCCTCAGAAAGCGGCTCCTCCGCCTCAAGTGCCGGCTCCTCCGCCTCCAAAAGCGGGTCCTCCGCCTCCGAAAAAGGTTCTTCCGCCTCCAAAAGCGGCTTATCCACCTCCAAAAGCAGCTTCTTTTCCACCACTAAAAGTAAGTCCAGCACCCGCGGCGGCTCCTGTTCTCGAAAACCAGTATGAGGACGTTATCCCTGAAGCCGTTGCAGGAGCGCCTCCACCACCACCTCCACCTCCAAAAGCGGCTCCTCCGCCTCTGAAGCCGGCTCCTCCGCTTCCAAAAGCAGGTCCTCCGCCTCCAAAAGCGGCTTATCCACCTCCAAAAGCGGCTTATCCACCTCCAAAAGCGGCTTATCCACCTCCGAAAGCGGCTTATCCACCTCCAAAAGCAGCTTCTTCTCCACCACTAAAAGTAAGTCCAGCACCCGCGGCGGCTCCTGTTCTTGAAAATCAGTACGAGGATGTGGTTCCGGAAGCGAATGCAGAAGCTCCCCCACCACCACCACCTCCGCCTCCGAAAGCAAGTCCTGCTCCACCAGCAGCACCTCCTGTTCTCGAAAACCAGTATGAGGACGTTGTTCCTGAAGCCGTTGCAGGAGCGCCTCCACCGCCACCTCCGCCTGGAGAGGCAAAGAAACCAGCTGTAGGTAAACAGAAACCCAAGTAGACGTTTCGTCATCACAGTTCTAAGGTGAATAGCTGATTTGAAAGGTGAGCAGCTTTGATTTTACTTTTTCATTCAGTGATAATGAATGATTTGATCAGTGATATGGTTAGTGAAAATCGATCCTAACGAGTGTCGCGGGTTCATTCACTATATAATTCATAATGGAAATTTCACTTCTGTAGCACGTAAGGCTCAATTGTATAGCTGCGAGCAATCTTTGTATACAAAATTGCTATGTTGATAACACAGTAATAACTTTATAACAACGACACATGACGAAATGAATACGATAGATAACGATATAATGAAACGACAAGTGTGAGATTAAGTATTGATACTGATACGATAAACATGAGACTGGTAAATGATTTCCTCGCCACATGGATGTCTAAGCGACTTCGATGCAACGAACGTGGGCCAGCGTGACAAATCACGATGACATTATGTATAGAAAGATAGGATGAACGAACGGTTAATCATATTAACACGATCGATATAAAGAGAGGATGTATGAGCAATGAATCAAAGACACGGTGAATAAGAAGTGAGGATGGACCAGCAACAAACCACAGCAGCTCTTTTGAGTGAATGAGGACGTGGCAGAGTCTATGGAGGTAACCGTCGGAATCCGATCGGTAGTATCATTGAGTAGTTGGACTGCCTCCAGTTACTCTATATTTATGGTAGGCGGAGTTTTGGGGTTGGCTTAAACTAAACTCAGAGGTAAAATGAAAGGTTACAAATGAGATCACAGATCAAACATCCGCGTAAACTTCAAGATTTTTGGAAATGGAAAGTACTCCTGACTTTTGTAAACAATGCGCCGATGAACACTCGACGTGTAAAAATGAAAGTTCATCCAATGTGCAATGAGTTTCACAGTGCACCGATGCGTACCCGAGATTAGAGTCCAAGAAGAGCTTTGCTTGTAACAAAGAAATTGCAGCTAACTGGGATAATAAGCACTAACTCCACTTTTTGCCCCAGTAATCTTGTTTCTTCATGTAGCCTGTGCCTTAGCGAAGCTACTCAAGAAAAATCAGAGTGAGGTACTCTGAATCCAGAGCAAAGTAACCGACACAGTTGCACCAGCGTTGATATTTGACTATTATTTCTGTCATAAAAGTAAAGGCTATGTGAGTTCTACGCGATGGTTGGGAAAAGGTTGAAGCGTCATAAAGTTCATAAATCATACCTTTCGTTTCAAGTGTTTTTCTTGAAACCACGCTTAAAATTCAACCTATCTTGTATTTTTTATTTAAGCCAACAGTTATGAGGTCATTTAAACGGGCTGACTTATAGAGCCTGATTCACGTGGTTCGACTTTGACAGTTTCATCAGTCGGGCGGTACCCTTTCGTCTTTTGCCGATCCTCTTGGGGCGCTCAGTCCCAAATACCAAGAGTAGGCAAAAACAAACATTTTATATCGTCCACTAAATGAAAATATCACCAAATGGACAGTGTTGTACTACTCTTAGTATAGAGGGCTGAGCGCTCCGAGAGGATTGGCAAAGGACGAAATGGTACCGCCCGACTTATGAGAGTGTGAAGGATGAAAGGCTCTATAAGTCAGCCCTATAACAGACCACATGAAATGTTGGCTCAAATAATAGTTGCGAGACATCATAGAGTTTTTCTAACACAAACTGGCATGAGAGATATGTTTCAACATTGTTCTGTGTTTTGACAACCTCTGTGATTGCTGTTGATCAGAAGAGATTCTATTCCCCAACTA